CATGGGCTACCATGTGTAGCCAGCAGCCAGCGTGAGCAGCCAGCAGCTGCAGTGAGCGGCTGTCCAGAAGCCAGCAACTGATCTGTCTCACCCAGGAAGAGCGCAATGATGGTGCCAACTTGGGCCAGTGAAGCAACGTCCTCCACAACTAGACTGAAGACCAAAACAACAGCAACTTGTCTGTTCCCCTTCCCCCAATTCCCCATCACTGTTCCCATCCCCCAATTCCCCAATAAAAATCTTAAAAAAAAAAAATCACCAGCATGGAATTTCGTGAACCATCGTTGGCACTGACGTTCTTGTACAGCATTGTCACCGTAAGCTTTATGCAACTTTTTACAAGTGCATCAAGCTTTACAAGCTTGACATGCATGTTTCCCTTTATGGAAGTAAAACAGTAAAATATGGCAAAAATGCACAGTTTGGTCTTCCATCTTTAACTTATTGTAAAATCTCCAAAACTCAACCAAATTGCTCAATTTTTTTTTAGAATGAAGATAGAACTGTCAACTGTCAAATGACATAGCAATAACATAGATGTGAATGGCTCTAGTTAACTTTCAAAAACGAACTAGTGCCATCTGTTGCAAACATGCATCATGACTTTTCCAACAACCCAATATAATAAGCAATGATTGAGCTGCCAGCAGGCGCTGAGAGACTCAGCCCTGGCACATTCGAGCAGAGTGAGGTGAAGTACCATAAAAGTGCTGTATGAATGGTGTGCGAGGCCAGAACAGGGCACATCTGAAAATGAGTTCCTGTGCAGATCTGCTTGGTCCTGGTCCTGAGTAGGGGATCTGATAGTGGTGCAGCCATGGACAAGTTAGTCCCATCTCTCTCGGCCTCGGGGTCCTCACCTCCCCTGAAGAGATGAACTGAAGGCTATGTGATATAAACAGATGAGGCCAGTACAGGCTTTGTGCCTGGGAGGCACTAAAGGGTCCATTCCCTCCAGCCGGCCTACAATGAGGGTTTAACCTGGAGTCTACAAAAGACTCAGGGTTAGGTTAGGAGGAAGACAGATAGACTCTAGATATCTCCCTGATCTTGGCAGCTTCCCCCTGCCCCATCTTTGGAGGCCAACAATTGCCACGGGGCTCATGGGTGCTCTGTTGCCCTTCCGGACCAATACTCCCCCCCACCCCTGCTTCTTCAAAAGCCCCTCTCCTTGCAGGCTCCTTCTGTCCTGTCATGTCCACTTTCCCCTCCTGGCAGCTGTCACTGGCCTTTTGGTTACTGCTCTTATTCGCAGAGGATGATGGCTCCTAGGTCACACTACCTTCTCCAACATCTGTCAGTTTCTTGCTTCATCAGCCACATACACCTTGACTTTACCTGGGACTGCCCCACCATTCAATTTCAAAACCACCCCTTGCTGGCTCAAATACGCTCAATACACATCCCCACTCCACCCCACGTTGGTGTTCTACCACTTCTACAGTCTTTTTTTTTTTTAATAAATTTTATTGGGGAACAGTGTTTTTTTCAGGACCCATCAGCTCCAAGTCAAGTAGTTGTTTCAATATAGTTGTGGAGGGCGCAGCTCACTGGCCCATGTGGGAATCGAACCAGCAACCTTGGTTTTATGAGCCTGTGCTCTAACCAAGTTAGACAACTGGCCGCCCCACCTCCTGTCTTTTGTTAAACCTCATACCCCACAGTCCATCGTGATAATTTCTCCTGTAATCTTAACTGCCTCGCCTCTCCCTCTTCCTTGTACTCCGCTTGCCAAACCCCAACTCTGCATCAAGTGTCTCCATCCCGGCTGAACATTGACGACAGGGAACACGCGTGCATGGGTACCTCTGAGTGCCCAGGTTCCTACTCTAAAATGACCATCTCAGAGTTCAGCCCTGCCAGTCTGGTTCTTTGATTTGCTTTTCAATATCAAGATGAACTACTGCATACCTTCTAAGGACATCTTCCAGCCACATCCAGCTGATGGTCTCACTTCATTTCACCAAGAAGAGATTCAAATTCCATCATCCCACCATTAATTTAGCCCTCCTCGTCCTCTACGCTTTTCCCATCCTCTCCTTTGAGAGCCCTATTAGGCTGCAGAACTGTTCCTCCTCCTCTCTTAGGGCCCATCCATCCTTTGTCTTGGACTGTGACCTTCAGTAACCCCTCTCCCCCATCCCCACACTCCCTCTATCCACACTGACTGTTCCCTCCACATACACAGGCTCTACCTCCAACTGAAACACTCCTGACTCCATAGCTCTATCCAGTTATCACACCATTTCTCCACACCTCTTTGGGACCAACTTCTCACTGTCCACTCCCCTACTCACTGAACTCCAGGGTGCCTTCTACAGCCACTTCTTCCAGAAATTGCTCCCATGAAAAACCTCATGCTACTAAATCCAATGGACAGTTTGCCTTTATTTTACCAAAACTCTCACGTAGGAGCATGGGAAGAGACCCTTCCCCGGTTCAGAAGTTCCTCCCCAGCTAGGAGATGGGTAATGGGAAAACCTAGGCCCCACACATGCCACTTCCTGGTTAAACTAAACTGTGGGCGTCTGGGAGGCATTAGCTTGTGTGTGGGCACAGACTGTACATTCACATGTCTGGAGGCTGCCAGGCTGTGTGCATGCAAATGTATGGGGTAGAGGCAGGCTCTCAGAATTTGCCAGGGCCCCTGGGATCAGCTGCGGACTTTTGCCCCTGATGCCACAAGTTGCTGGGAGCCCTGTGCTGAAAACATATTGTACATACTTCTTTTAATCTGTTACCACCTATCAGGCCCAAGCCCAACATAGAAAACATTCCCTTTCTTCTCCCTCCCTCAGTACAAAGGTCTTGATCTCAGGTCCCATGGGTCCTTGGAGGTCTCCTCTAGTGAAAAACTGAGATCTTAATGCTTGAAGACAGAGCCAGATTCCAGCAGTCCCAAGTCCTGGAGGGTTTCTAGCAGTTGCTCCCGTGCAGTTCCAATAAAGGTATTCTCCAGGAAGGCAGGCAGGCCTCCCACACCGTCATGCAGGGTATACAGGGGCACCCGCACCAGACCCAGCACCTGTGAAAGGAGGAAGACAGGAGACACTAGGAACCCAGGCAGCTCATCCCAGCCAGGTCTTTCTAGATCAGAAACCTCACCCCTTATCGGTCCAGCAGAACCAGGCCTAAGGACTCATATTTCAATACAGCCTCAATGAAGCGGGCCCAACTCTCTGCAGACAAATGACCCAAGTCATGTCATCCAGTTCCATAAATGCTAATCTTTCCCAGACCACTAAAACTTTTAGTGGCTCCTGTGTCCAGGATGCCTGCTTGGCCCTACACGTTCTCAAAACGTGGTCCCCAGACCAGCCATATCAGCACCCTTTAGGAGCTTCTGAAATATGTACATTCTCAGGTCCTTCTCCCCCTCCCCACACTGAACCAGCAATTCTGGGAGTGGGTCCAGTAAGCACAGCTTTAATAAGCCTCGCAGATAATTCTGATACCTGCCAAAGTTTGAGAACCATCTCCGTGCACCATCTGTCTCCCTACTCCCTACTCCCCTAGCCTAAGTGCCAAGGTTCCCCCACAAAGTATCAGGCCACATCTCCTATGCAAGAAAAACAGGGGCCTAGGGTGCAATGCCTGGACATTTTCAATGGGGTACAGAAGAGAAGCTTGGATGGGTATGTTCTAGAAAGTTAGCTGCAGAGGCCAGTAAAGGGGAATGAGGGGAGAGACCTTCGGAGGGAGACCAGATTGGCTATAGTTAGTCATTCAATGAAAGAAGACCAACACTTCAACTACACGAGGAAACTGAAGGAGAGGCTTTCTGGGTAGGCAGGACACGGGGGTGGGGTTCCCGGGCTGGCCCCACCTCCAGCCCATGGTCCTTGGCACGCGGGGCAGCAATCTCCACTGCAGCCAGCTGCTCCAGCGACAGACGCTTGACATAGAAGTGGGTCACGATGTGCTGGCCGGACGCGGCACGCGCGTTACGGTGGTCGGCGCGTCCCACGCGGAAGGCGGCCGCACCCTCGCCCAGCTCCTCGACCAGCTCGCGATTCAGTCCATCCTCCAGGCTTTCGTCCCGCAACTGCACGAAACCTCCGGGGAAGCCCAGGCGCCCATCAAAGCGCATCTGCATCTGTGGGAGAGGGAAGCCAGGATTGCTTGAGGAGCCAGAGGCGGGCACCCCGGGGAGGTCGCAGGGCAGAGAGTGGTCGGGCGCGCCCCCACCTCACCAGTACGGCATAGCGCAGCGGGATGCGGCCGAACAGCTTCCCGGTGTCCGGCGCGTAGAGCAGCACGTGGCACGCGTGCCGCCAGTTAGGACCCAGCGCCAGGGACTCCTCCAGCAGCAGCTTGCGGACCCCGGCCATCGCCGGACGCTTTCCCCAGTGCTGTCACGAAGGCCCACGTGGGCAGGCTGACGGGCCTCACCCTGGGCCAATCCGAGCCTGGGTGGGGCGGCCAGGACCAATCCCTGGCTCAGGGGCGGGATCTAGGCGAACAAATTTGGGATGGGAGCCGTGACCCACCGGGGCGGGGCTTGCAATGCCTAGTGAAGCCGTTGGAGGTGGGGCACTAGAGAAACCGAAACCTTCCTCTGGATTGGACCTGTGGGGCTCAGATCGACGCCGAGGGAGATAGGTAAATACTGCTTACGTCACAGTCAAGCTTCGTTGGGACTTCCAGAGCGGGTTTAGAGACTGGGATGCGAGTAAGGGTTTGTACCCCGTGCGGGATTTAATTAGGGACGAATCCCGGGAGGCGGAGCAAATACAGGGAGAGTTTAGGGAATTACTGGGTTGTTGGAAAAGTCATGATGTATTTTTTCTATGTTTTTCGTTGCAAAAATGTGTCATGACTTTTCCGACAACCCAATACATCTGGTTTGACCTGGGTGGTACGCGAAACACGGGCCGAGGTGGGGGTCAGGAAAGACGAGGCGGAGCTGGCTTCAGAGACTTGGCCTATCCTAACACAATAGGGATGGAGAAGAGCGGGGTGTAACAGCTGACCTGAGTGGTGTGATTGAGGGAACTCAGTGGCTGATTGAACTTTAGGGGAGAATTGTGCTAGGATGAGGTCAGAGTTTCTGGTCGGGGTGGATGACGGTGTCATTTTTTGAGATGGGGATGGTAGGAGGGAGTGGTCAGGGATAACTGTAGTGCTAGACAGGAATGGGGGTGGCAATAGGCAGTGGATAGGATAGATCGGACCCATGAAATTTTCCAAGGAAGGGTAAGAGAGGAAAGCGGTGGGTGAAACCCTGTGGGCACAGGAAGGTGAATGAGGAAGGCATGCCTAAGGCCCTGTAGACTTGATCTCACACCCTCTCAGACCATTAAGCTGTGAAGGAAGGTGGGGAACAGCCCACCCCCAGGGCTGGGAGCTACTCAGCCGGATGCTGAGGAGCAGGGATTCGGGATCTCTCCCCACAGGCCAGGCCTTCCCCACTTTTTCTGAGGCCTTGCACTCTGTGCGGATGACCTCTACATCCAGCGTCAGTTTTATTATACAATGGAAAGGAGGAGGCAGCTCCTTGAGAGGGCCTGGGCTTAAAGTCACAGTCTGTAAGTGACAGCACAGGATTGGAAAGAGCCCAAGAAGCCACCAGACACAGGCTTGTGACCTTAGCAAGTCATTTAAGTCTCAGATGTCCAGTTGCTCATCTGTTAAATGGAGGTGATACCAACCTATTTAGGGATGTCGAGAGGTTTAAGGCACTTAGAACAGTGCCAGCACCAAGTAAATGTAGCCATCCTTGGAGGCGGGGTTGGGGGTGAGGGGCAGAGTGCTGTCTTATGTTAAAGACCTGCCAGTTGGAACTCAGCCACACTCACCAGGCCTCAGCATACCAAGGGGAGAGTGAGACGTCCCTGGCATCTTTCCCAGCTTAGCCTTTTGAATAACATGTCAGAGACGGTGTCTACCAACACTGGGCAACTGGATCAAGGTGATGAGACTGTAGGTGTGACACAACTCATTACCCTACTAGAGTTCTAGGGAGTTTGGAAATGGCCCTGATTAAACATTAGAATCACCTTGCAAAAAGCTTATAAAAAACTACAAGTTCCATGGGGTGACTGGTTAGCTCAGTTGGTTAGAGCATGGTGTTGCTAACACCAAGGTTGCTGGTTTGATCCGCACATGGGCCACTGTGAGCTGCACCCTCCTTAAAAGAGTCAACTATGCCATTGTAGCATGAAAGCAATGTGTAACCAACGACCATAGCTGTTCCCCAATAAAATTAAAATAAACAAACAAAAAACCTGCCAGTTCCAGGGTTCCACTCCAGACTAACTGATCAGAATTTCTGGCAGTGATTCTGAGGCCTAGGTGGTTTTTAAATGTGTTTCAGGTGACTCTAATAAGCAACCAGGGTTGAGGATCAGTGCCCTAGCCCTTACTCCTAACATTCCAAAGGTGACTTGGTTTCTCTCCTAGATTGGCTTCTTTGAAGGACTTAGGGTCAAACGTGCCCTTTCCAGAGCTTCAGGCTGTTGTGGTTTTCTTTCCTGGTTGCTTGCGAAAGCTTTTAAAGATGGATTCCTCTATTTCTAAGGCAACATGAAAAACTCTGAAACCAATGCAACAGCTATCCAAGAACTAATGACTTTGGAGACCAGAGCTTTTTCAGATTGAATGAATATGGAAGTCCTTAAGCCTCCGCAAACTTGCCTCACTTTTCCGACTGCTCTCTGCCTCTGCCAGGAGAGCCCAGCCCCCATCCATGCCCCTTCCCCCTTTCCCCATCCTACCATCCTGAGGCAGATTACCCCAGATGAAGGCTGGAGGTAGGTCACAAGCAATTGCATGTGCCTCAAGAGCTACTCTAACAAGTTCATAGTGGTACTCAAGACCAAAAATAGTGGTCAGCCTTAGAGGACCTTGCTAGGGAATGATTTCATTATTTTAAAATCAAGGAGGAAAAGAATCAAACATTTATCCTGTCTTTTTTATGTGGGCTCTACCTTAGGGCTACCAAATACAGAGGTGCCAAAAAAATGTATACACATTTTAAGAAAGGAAAACTATTAAAATTGTAATACTCAATATATACCAATAACAAAAGATGAATACAAGTCACGTCTGACTCCTCCAGTTACAAAAGGTGCTCAAAGTGGTTACCATCAGTGTCCAGACACTTCTGATTATGGTGAACTACTGCTTGAGCAACATTGACCAGTGTCCACTTGTATACATTTTTTTGGCACCCCGGTAGTTGATGAGGGGAAGTTTATTTTTATATAGAGTATTCCCGTTAATCAAAGGAGAAAGACAGAGCCAATCAAAATTACCATTTTTAAAGAATTAATAGATCTTAGAGATTGATTATCAAAGGGTGATAACATCACTAAAAGAAAACCAGCTTTTTTTAAAAAAAAGATTTTATTGGGGAGTTGGAGGAGGGAACAGCATTGGGGAATTGGGGAAGGGAAACAGACAAGTTGCTGTCCTTTTGTTCTTCAGTCTAGTTGTGGAGGATGTTGCTTCACTGGCCCAAGTTGGTTTTGTGACCATTGCGCTCTTCCCAGCTGAGGAAGATCAGTCGCCAGCCATCGGATGGCCGCTCACAGTAGCTTACAGCAGCCCACTGCAGCCCCACTGCAGCCTACACCGTCGCATCGCTGGTGACTCATGGCAGCCTAGCTCCAGGACGAGCTGTTGTTCACCATCTTAGCTGTAGAGGGCACAGTGTCACTGGCCCATGTGGGATCCGAACCAGCAGCCCTGCTGCTCAGAGCTTGTGCTCCCAAGCCAACTCTCAACCAAAGAGCCACTGGGCCAGCTCTGAAATTCAGCTATTTTACGCCTCATGATGGAAGAACACACCACTTCCAATGAAATATTCTTGCTAAAAAAACTGAATTTGAATCTGGATCAGACTACCATTTTATAAGAAATACAAAAGAACGTCTTTAAATATCAGGAAGAAGCTAGAATGATCCATGTGATAGTGGATTGAGTTGGAGACACCAGTATGAATTTTTGTGTTTAACTTAATTTAGATACAGATGGTTACATATAAAAATATGTATAGATATGTGTATATACAAGGCTTTGTGTACATGTATATTTGCTTGCTCTATTACCTGAGAGGGCCTAAAAGCAATGATACCGCAGTAGCAATAAGCACACCTAGTGCTCAGATCTTGACTTCTAATACCATTCTCCAGTAAAAGGAACCAAGACTCATTGGAGAAATGGCTGATTCAAGCACTGTGGGAGGAAATATGTATGGTAGCTACATGATGAGCCTGAAGCATTTTGTGATGCCAGAAAGTAAGGAAGTACATAAAAAAAATTGTTTTTTAATGAAAAGAAAAAAAAACATTGATGGGAGCATGTCAAAGGGACAGGGACAAAGCCAACTGAAAGAGTTCCCAATGGCCAAAGCTGAAACAATTTGAGCAACAAAATAAGGCAGTACTGGATTATAATTCAAATTCTAAAATAAATATCTACAGATTTATACTGAAATAAATAATGAATAAGAAATGGGTGAGAAGAGACAAATCTCCCACACAGAAGAATCTGAAAAAATGCAGATACTCTACACTAAAGGAGGCGGAGCATAGCTGCTCTCTCTTTAAGTGTGGGCTGTGAAGAGTGACTTCCTTCCAAAGAGGACAGTATGGAAAGAGGTGTGTGTGTTGGGGAGCGGGCAATTTGTAACTATGTGGGGAAACCCAACAAACACCTTAGCCAGGTGACCAAGGCCAACATCAACAAAAACAAGCCATGTTGATAGTATGTACCCTTGATGCGATATGATGAATATGGTATTCGATGTCAGTGGTCTTCTAAAATGATAAAACCCCAGTCTAATCATGAAGAAAGCATTAAACAAATCCCAGAGGAGGGTCATTCTACAAAATACCTGAGCAGCATACCTCAAAAATGTTATGGTCATCAAACACAAGGAAAGCCTGAGAAACTGTCATAACAGAGGACCCTAAAGATACATGACTACTAAATGTCATGCGGAATCCTGGATAGGATTCTGGATCAGAAATAGGACATTAGATAAAAGCTAAGGAAATCAGAATAAAGTATGGACTTTGATCAAGACTAGTATATCAACTTTGGTCCATTATTGTAACAACTATACCATACTAATGTAACATATTAATAATAGGGAAACTGGATGGACTATATGGGAACTCTATGTTCTTTAGTTTTTCTGTAAATCTAAAGCTTCTAAAAAATAAAGTTTATTTGTAAAAAATCAAGGGGATGCAATCAGTAAAATCAAGACTGAGGGAAACTTTATAAGATAAATTGGTTTCTTCAACAAATGAATTACAAGGGGAAAAAAGAGATGGAGGCCGAATTGATACAATTGATTGAAGAGACATATCATTTGAAGCTATTGGGCTTTATTTGGATGCCAATTTGAAGAAACAAAAAAAGTGATGG